AAGCTAACCTATCTTTATGTTTTTGACATGCTAACTTATCTTTATGTTTTTGACATGCTAACCTATCTTTATTTTTTTGACATGCCAAGCTATCTTTATGTTTTTGACATGCTAACCTATCTTTATGTTTTTCCCATGCTAACCTATCTTTATGTTTCTGACATGCTAACTTGTCTTTATGTTTTTGACATGCTAACCTATCTTTATGTTTTTCCCATGCTAACCTATCTTTATGTTTTTCCCATGCTAACCTATCTTTATGTTTCTGACATGCTAACTTGTCTTTATGTTTTTGACATGCTAACCTATCTTTATGTTTTTCCCAAGCTAACCTATCCTATCACCGAGATAGTGACTATGCCGAAATTACCAATTCCAGCCACATCTACGAACAACTTCCGCTCACGCATTGATCCGCGAATGGAGTTTGCAAATGAAGTCGAATTTATATAGGGATTGTAGAGTGGTTTTCCAACCTTTTTGTGTTTATCATGGAAACCTTTAACTACTATTTGGGACATTTCATTGTAGCGGGGTTTAAGTCTAAATTTAATCATTTCGGGCATAGATTTAATTGGGATAAATTGACAATGGGTTCACACAGTAGGGTTACAACAGATCGACTTCTGTCAACGTAGGGGATTAAAAGTATCAATAGGTTATGTCATGCGAATGTCCACTTGGAACAAAGAAGCTTGAGACACAAAGCATTTTATACGCAATAGAGAGTTCACTTAAAGGGTTTGAAGAAAGGGTCTGGGTAACAAAGCATTTCTCACTTGAATGACCATTAGGTAAACAGGGGTTTGGAAAACGATACGTTGAATGACCAATAGGAAACAAGGGTTTGAAAAACAATGATTTGGATAGACAATAGAGTAAAGTAATAGGGTCGGGAGTGGAGGAGATAGGGTACTTATTCTTTAGCTTTTGGACAAGACAGAGCTGGGCAGATTCTAGGTTCTTGGGTAGTCCTTAGATGTTCAATTCGTCTTCAGATTTAGTGTAGACCTCTTGTTAGTTTAATATAGTGTAAATAAAGTGTTGTTAATATCTTAGCTGTTATCTAATTTGGAAAATTGATAGCCGATAGAAGTCCGTATCCAGTCTCTTACAAACGACTATACAGTTTGTAATAATAATCTATTTTGCGGTTTGCAAGTAGAACCCGACAACAACTGCGTTGCATCATGTCTTCGTTAAAATGCCTGTGGTTCCTGCAATTCCAGAAAGAGTTAACCGGAAATGACGCAGCTCCCGCAAACGGATTCTAACCATTTTTTTTTACCAGAACACAATAACCTAATAATATATGTTATCTCTTCTAACAAGATGGCGGCATTTCTAACTAAAAATTGCCGACCAAGACATAATTCCAGTAAATAATGTCTGCATTTCATTGCTGTGATATGTTGCAGAGCGGTAGCAGAACTTTCACAGTAGGCCGTTTTGAGGTTTAGAATGAGACATGTCAAGGCTATCGCACAATTAGTTGAATTAAAAACAGTAAAACTATTCACGTAATATTAATATTGTTGTATTATGATTATTTATAATTTACTTTTTATATTTACTTTACTATTTTTAATGTTTCCTTTAAAGTAAAGGCAGAAATTAACGTGTATCGAAATTTTTGTTGACATGCGAACTTATATGTTTTATATATAACTCTCGTGCTGTATATAATTATTATTTTATGTAAATCTTATAAAAAAAATTCAGAAGCTATTGTACTGAGACACCGAATCCCGATATCAATATATCACAATCAAAAAATCAAGTCCACGAGCTGCCAGTCTGAACGAGTCGTACAGCGATGGGCTCAATAGCCTGCTGGATATTTCAAGTAGATGATGTATGGATTGTGAACTTGAATTGAGGGCTAACACTTTCAAAATTAACTTTTGATAAATCATGTTGTTATTGCCTATTCGTCCTATTCTTTGTGAGAATAGCACAAGACGATTTTTAAACCTGGACTTGGATTCATTGAATCAGGGTTTTATTATTCAATATCAACGACTGACATTAGTTTACATTCTTCTTATGATGCTTCGTGGGCAGTAGTTTTATCTGGTTTGGTATCGTCGGATATTTCACTTTATCATATACAATATCTCATATACACTATATCATATACACTATATCATAAACACATTATCATAAACACTATATCATAAACACTATATCATAGACTCTATATCATAGACACTATATCATATACTCTATATCATAAACACTATATCATAAACACTATATCATATATATTACATCATATAGACACTATATCATATACTCTATATCATAGACACTATATCACAGACACTATATCATATACACTGTATCATAGACTCTATATCATAGACACTATATCATAGACACTATATCATATACACTATATCATAAATACTATATTATAGACACTATATCATATACACTATATCTTATACACTATACCATAGATGCTATATCATATACACTATATCATATACACTATATCATATACACTATATCATAAACACTATATCATATACACTATATCATATACTCTATATCATATACACTGTATCATATACACTATATCATAGACACTATATCATAGACACTATATCATATACTCTATATCATATACACTATATCATAGACACTATATCATATACACTATATCATAGACACTATATCATATATACTATATTATAGACACTATATCATATACACTATATCTTATACACTATATCATATAGACACTATATCACAGACACTATATCATATACACTATATTATAGACACTATATCATGGACACTATATCATATACACTATATCATATACACTATATTATATACACTATATCATATACACTATATCATAGACTCTGTATCATAGACTCTATATCATAGACTCTATATCATAAACACTATATTATAGACACTATATCATATACACTATATTATAGACACTATATCATGGACACTATATCATAGACACTATATCATATAGACACTATATCATAGACACTATATCATAGACACTATATCATATAGACACTATATCACAGACACTATATCAGATACACTATATCATAGACACTATATCATAGACACTATATCATAGACACTATATCATATAGACACTATATCATAGACACTATATCATAGACACTATATCATAGACACTATATCAGATACACTATATCATAGACACTATATCATAGACACTATATCATAGACACTATATCATAGACACTATATCATAGACACTATATCATATAGACACTATATCACAGACACTATATCATATACACTATATTATAGACACTATATCATATACACTATATCTTATACACTATATCATAGATGCTATATCATATACACTATATCATATACACTATATCATATACACTATATCATAAACACTATATCATATACACTATATCATATACTCTATATCATATACACTGTATCATATACACTGTATCATAGACACTATATCATATACTCTATATCATATACACTATATCATAGACGCTATATTATATACACTATATCATAAACACTATATCATATACACTATACCATATACTCTATATCATATACACTGTATCATATACACTGTATCATAGACGTTATATCATATCTATATCATATACACTATATCATATACACTATATCATATACTCTATATCATATACACTATATCATAAACACTGTATCATATACACTATATCATATACTCTATATCATATACACTGTATCATAGACGCTATATCATATAATCTATATCATATACACTGTATCATAGACACTATATCACAGACACTATATCATAAACACTATATCATATACACTATACCATATACTCTATATCATATACACTGTATCATAGACACTATATCATATACTCTATATCATATACACTGTATCATAGACGTTATATCATATCTATATCATATACACTATATCATATACACTATATCATATACTCTATATCATATACACTATATCATAAACACTGTATCATATACACTATATCATATACTCTATATCATATACACTGTATCATAGACGCTATATCATATAATCTATATCATATACACTATATCATAGACACTTTATCATATACTCTACATTCTATACACTACATCATAGACACTATATCACAGACACTATATCATATACACTGTTTTTATGAGGTTGAAGCGCCAAACTCGGCGTTCATCATCTCTGCCAGTCCTGCTGCAGGTGCTTGTGGCATTTTTTTTCCTGTGGCTCTTTCCAATTGGTGCCTTCGGACACGTTATCGGTGTCCCAAGCGACAATCAGAGGCTTTATCCCTCTACTATATCCAAACCAATTTATTCGTTTTCCTGATGACACAAAAGAAAATAGTGTACAGCAACAATTTGATGCTTTAGCGGGTAGGTAGTAAACCTTCTCTCTCTCGGTAACAATGTCAGTACTGTCAATTATTTCCCAAAACTGTCTTAATATATATGACATTGGCACATAAACCTTAACGGTAGACTAGTCGGTATTTCCTTTCACTCCAGTCCAAAATAGGCTATAGTCATAGACAGAATTTCGGTTGTTAAATCATATTATGACGTGACTTCTCAGAAACAATGGCATCATTCATTGTCGATTTGCGTGGACAATTTCGTTTAGAACACCACGCATTGATGTATCCTGTTATCGTTGAGGCCGGTTGACAGTGTCTATGTTTATTTATAGCTCAGTGAAATTTCCACTTTGTGAATTTCATAGATGTATTCTATTTATAACTATAATGATTAACTCTCGATTATCGTTTCACTAATCCTATACGCCCCTTCCCCTATTAAAATTTTTAATTGAACTACCCATCCATTGTATTTTGATCTCTCAACTATTATGAAGTAGTTGTCACTTGGAAGATATGTAATGATTATTTATTAGGATACAGTATCTATTGCTGATGTAAAGTTTTATACTTAAAGGTTTTCCAAATGTGATCGGTTGCATTACTTGCATTTCTATACATTATGTATTTTCACTGCTGAATATGATGCGAAGAATGGAGTATGGACTTCACAAAATCGTAAAATTGTCCGTTAATGGTGTATAACTTTCATAACCAGCCCCTTTCAAATATTCGAACAATAGGGCAGCTAGGTGTCACTTTCGCTTCTTTTATATCATTATTGGATTACATCAATTTCTCGTTGAAAACTTCCTTGTATAATTCAATAACTATGTAAATTAACCTGTCAGATTTAAGTTGAACACAACTGAGTTTTAGAACAATTTGTGAATCTAGGAATATCCAAGGATCGTACACCTGGTAAAGAATTTAAAATGAATTTGCTGATAATTTGGTGGATTGTAGGACTATCACTGATTATAGTTGAAGGTATGTTTTATATTTAAACATTTGTTGACTGATATAGAAGGAAGATAACGGTAACACATATTCATATAGGCACACATATCAGCCACAATGCCAATTAGGTACTCCAGACAAGTGTTGGGAGTTGGAGTTGGAGTTTCGGGAATGCACCTGAAAAGCACAGGAAAATAAAACGAAGAAGAGGAAAAAGATCGATCGACCATTTTAGTCATATCATGGATGAGGAAGCTTTTTTCGTATGACCAGGATGACCTCTCTTTTTCCTTCTTTCATTTTTTCGCTTTAATTCTTGGTCTTTTGGGTCATTCGACCACCCCCTACACCGCCACGGTGTGCCTGTACCCATATGACCTGTGCCTAAATACCGTGTCTAACTGTCTTGTTCTTGCGATATTTGTCCTCAAATGACCATTTCAAACTTTATGGCGGATGCTAAAAGTAAAAATGGCGGATCATTGGTCCATCACATCAAACCTATTTTGAATAAATCGATAAATACAACTTAAATAAAGCATGATAGCTGTAAATGACTAGAATATAACTAGTTTGCTCTTCATATTTAAAATGGTATAAGTGATTGTGTTCGAACTGACAACCCGGTTTCCCCCTGTCAGTGATGCAGGTACGAGGGGCTGACATGGAAAAAGCGTCTAGTCGTTCGGATGGGACAATAAACGGAGGCCCCGTGTGCTACAGGCTGTGAACGTTAAAAATCCCTCGAAGTTGGAAATCGAAAAGGAGCAGGCTAGTGCCGCCTGCATGGCGTTGCCCGTCTTTATTAGCCCAGAAAAGTAGGACGTAAAACTCCATTTCATTTTATTTCGAACTGACAAGACGTGTTTTGGTGACCGCTCCACGCTTCAATCACGCTTCAGCAATCACGATTAGAAGTTCAAACGACATTTTTTTTAGTCAGTTTTTACTTGGATTCAAACGCCTGTGGTTATTTACTAACATTCTCAGTTTATTATTCTGTGTGCAATGTCAGCCAGTAATAATGAAGTGTTGGAACCTATGCGATATGAAACGGCAGATGAATTGGTTCAAAATGTTATGACAGTTGAAAATTCGAACAAGAAACGGAATTTGTCAAATAAGGGTGATGTATTGGACTGTTTATTCCAATCCACTAGGGAGAGGAAAAAGCAAGGGCTGGGTTGTTGAGGAGACAGAGATTTAACGAGAAATTTGGTCTGCAAAATGTTCAGTGCATTGGCAGCTTTTAACACGAGAATAGGTGACCTGGGGACAAACATTGAGAATAAAATTGTTGAACGTATAACAAATTCTGTGAATGAAACTGTTATAAGAACCGTGGATAAGAAAATTAAAGAAATAGGAAATATGCAGGAGAATTTTATGACCGAAATAAATAAACTTAATGATGTTCGTGTGACGAAGACAATTCGCTTACCGGGTAAAGAAGGTGATCACCGAATAACACCGATCAATCGGTCCAATCACAAGAAGAGACGAGCACGATCATGAAGGCAAAGTCTAGTTTAAAAGTTTAAATTTTTACCGCGTTTATATTGAAAATGATATTCCTAGTGATATTCGAACTCAAAACTCTAACCTAAAGAACATTATTAAAACGATAGACAAGGAACAAGACTATACTGTGAAACGAGAATGGATTGTGAAAAATAATGTCAGGAGAAGGTGAAATGAAATTGATAATGTAGGCTACGACTCGGACTATGGAATTTAAATGGGTGGTCACGTGATCAGGACTCTTTTAATTATCATTTACGACAAATTGTTATAAATTTTTTAGACTTGGATGTTTTATGTGTGTGCGAAACATTTTTAAGAGGCAACGAATGTATTGATCTTGATAGTAACGTATGGTTTAGTAACAATAGACTCACCACAACGACGATCTATGACTCAGCTGCGCCAGCGCAATCTTGTTCTTCTTGCCTTCAACAGGAAGCGTACCCAGAAAATTAACTTGGACGTATTTGTTCAACGTTTTGCCATAAAACATACCCGACTACGTTTAAACAAAAACGGCAAGAAAAATGTAACGTATTATAACTTGTGTGTTTTAACAAAAATAATCTTGAATCTAAAATACTCCATGAAAGTCCGTTTCCCGACGTTCTCTGTGATCTGTTAGAGTTACTTTATATCTATGTTTGTGTCTAATTGATTGTACCTTTACTATATAGTATTTTAAGGTGTTTTATAAGCCGAAGCCGACTGGCGTTCTTTTATAATGTTTTATTTTAATGGCTTTATATACTGTATATACGCACCATGATTCTGTGTGTTAAATCAATGTCTAAATATTTCAGCTTCAGAGGGTGTTTGTGTTATCAAGTATAGCAATATATGTGAATGCTTCAGTCCTTCAGAAACAACTCATCCGATAGAATGCTGCGGAGACAAAATTATACGATTGGAATGGACTGGTGCGACAATACTCTACGAGCAAATTAATGACACATCATGTACTCCATCAAAGGGGAACTCTTCTTGTTTAGTCAATGAAGAAAATAATTTTAAAGTAAATTATGAAGATAAATTAAACATCTATAACAGTTGTAGTGGAAAGAAACGATGTAATGTAACTGTAAATCCATCTAGAAATATAAAGATACAAATTCCGGTATTTTGTGTACCAGGTAGGCTGAACCTCTCACCCTAAATTTTTACAGCAAATCAAGCTTATATGATTCTCTTGTTTGAATTAACAGAAACACCAGCGGTCAATTGATTCAAAAACAGTATTTCCAATTAACCGTCTAAATAACGTTTACAGGAGGTACAATAAAAACCAAAAAATTATTTTTTAAAAAGTGTGTTTGTATTTTTATTTTAGCAACCAGAATCTACAATTTCATAGGGGATTCTCCTACAAATGTTACAAAAATATCACCAATATTTTACATCGCTGGTAACGATTACATTGGGAAAGAGATTAACTACAGTTGTACTGTCAAAGCAGCAGAAGTGTTGAAACTGAAGGTTTTCTACATATACCTTGGTCCTAGATCCTGTGAAAAAGTAAAGATGTATTCGAAAGGATTCCCAAAGTTTGAATTGGTCTGTACGGACTTCGGAATGACAATGTTTTATAAAGATATTGGACGTATCGGTACAGAGTTTAGTTTAGAAATAAAGGATCTGAAATTGGACAGGAATGAAGTTATATATCTAAGATTTGGTAAAATTCTGTATTTATATATTACCAGAGAGATCTGAGACAGAATGATCATTCTCAATCTCCCCTACAGAATCTGGTCTTCACAATATTGTTCGGAAAAGTCGCCTATTATTTTGAAAGCTGTAAAACATAGAAACAGACCAACCTATACAAGGTTCTATATGACTTAACTTTTGGAATTCATGATGTTGTATCAAAATCATTTATCTGAAAAGGTTTTTTTCAAAATGAAAGAAAATACGGTTTTTGAGAATCACTCACTCGAAATATCGACCTATTTGTTTTTCAGGCAGAGTGGCGAACATAAATGTACGTTGCCATGGTTACCAGATAGATACAACAGGTAAATTATTCACTTTTATATTTTGAACCAAATTAAGAATTTTTACAAAATTAATTTTGCTCTAAAACTAATTTATTAAGTTGTCTTGTAAGTGGTAAATCTCAGTTTAAAAAGAAATAGATAGACGAGAAATGAATACCTAGATGACAAATACAGTCCGTAAGATGATGTAAAGTACCACGGAGTGTTCTCTAAGAACTGTACTTAGTTTATGCATAGAACAGTATACTAACTGGAACAACTGAACTGTATTATTACAATTCTATACCAGAACGGCAACTTACGTTTACTTCCATTTCTATTTATGGTTGACGTTATTTCTCGCTTTACACGCATCGTTTACTTTCGGTGTATTAAAAACAGTATTCAGCAATCATCGGCTGTTTCCGTAAAGCTGAATCTGACTCGGTAATGAATAGTGAATTTCGTTATGTCTTCTTGGGCGAGACTCTTTACTTCCGGTATTTGTAAAGAGATAGTAATTTTGCGACCTAAATATAGCCTCTGGGGGAAAATTCTGACACAAAATTATGCATTTGATATTTTATTGTGAATCGGTAAATGTTTCAGAGTGCTGGCGTAATTTTCACGGAGGCCGCTTGTATTTAAGATATATGTTCAGTACGTATTCTAAAGTTTTCAACTGAAAATATTGAGTCTTTATAGACCCATGTTGCAGAAACCGGAAATTAAGCGTGAAAGTAATGCGTGCCAAATATTAATGGTACATTGACGTTAGTTGCCGTTCCAGTTGGTATACAGTATGGTTAATGCTTGTTAATAAACAAACCAACTTTTTCATCCAATTATTAAGGATTTCTCAATCACGTGACATTTGACTGACACCTAGCGTTAGGTTCTAAGTAAGTCAGAGCCCAGTGAGTAAATTTTACATAACTCCCTCCGCCCACTTCTTCAGCACGAAAATTGTATTTAGTATGAATTAACTATAAAAATATTTTAATTTTAGAGACAGTGAACATGTTGAATACAACAGAGAATTCCAAGATGGTTTGCAAAGATGAAGATGAAACCAGCCCCTACGTCATGTTTGGGGTAATTGTAGCTGCTCTGATTGTCACAAACTTAGCCTGTATTGTAATTGGTATCTACTGTTTTCTCAGGTGGGCCAAAATTGTCTAAAAAATGCATAACAATTTAAGGCATATCTGCCAATTTACAGATGAGAATCAGGTCTTTGTATTTAAGGCATGTGATCACACTCTCACACCTCACAAACACCAATCAAATCAAGGTGTGGGGGTTAGGTCACACATCTCAAAGACTTAGCCTTGCTTCAACATTTAAGAATCTGCACGATATCTCGGTTAGAGTATGTCCATCATTGCATCAAACATTGTGTCAGAAATAGTTATGTCCTTTTTCGCTATTTATATTAAAAAGACTGGTAAGGTAGCATATTGTAAACAATCTCTGTTGCTAGCAGAAACATCATTGAACTTTTTTGGGTGAATTTCTCCAAATATGATGGAGTTAATTCTGACTTAAGGCTGTACTAACATACAACGTTAAAGATGGGTTCCCTTATTTTCATTTATGCAAATGAAAAGGCTAATAGTTATATGAATAGAAAGTTTAGGTGTGTTCTTATGACCAGTTTGTCCCACATATCCATAATCAATTCACAATTAGCTAAATTAGAATAGAATTACCAGAAGAATTTCAATGAGTGACCGATCAAGAAAGGTCGAAAGTCTTTTTTTGTTTTTCCAAACTGTACATACATGGACATTTATGATTGGTTAAAACTCTTAATTATATGCAATAATGACATAATGATATGATTAGGAATACAAGATAATTCATTAGAAACACCAATTAATCAAATAGTTTGCTTAATTTGACACAAAAAAATAAGGAAACCCATCTTCTGACTTTGGGCTATACAAAGTTAATATAACATATAGATTCAAAATATATACTTGGCGATCGGAGAGTACAGATACAAAATACATAAAATAAACATCAACAGATAATGACTCAAGACTTTAGATTCGAACATCAAGTTTTCTACCAAATTACTTGTTTTAGTCTAATGTTATTTCAAATGTGTATTTTAGAAACCGAAAGTCGCCGAAAGAAACAACTACCAATGTGACAATGTCAAACCGGGAGGAAAATGAAAGTGACAACTCACACTACCAATACGTTGATATAAGGAATTCTCACGTTACCTATTCAAACCACAACAATCACGATTTGGAAATTGAGGACCAAGAGTCAGACAATGGTAAATACTCAAATTATGACCATATTGTTTTGAACAAATTGCTTACAAGGGATGCAACTCCAGTTTACTCTAGCGATGATTACGATCATATCCAATTTCCGAGTCATCACCAATGACTCATGACCACATTGGGATAGACCGAAACTTGACATGCAGAAAAGTAGGACGTAAAACTCCATTCATTTCATTTTAATCAACCAGATAACTTGGATACTAATGAGGTTTAGTAGACACTCAATGTTATTGTTATTATTTTCTTTATAATTCAGGTTTTATTTCTGTCCGAGTTTAAATGTTTTTTTTTCCTTTAAAGTAGAAATTAATGTGTATATATGAAAAAAAAACTTTTTTTGACATGCTAACTTTTCTTTATGTTTTATATATAACCTTTGTGCTTTATTCAATTATTATTTCTTTTTATTCTTTGATTGTCTAAAATTTAAAAATGATATAAAATAGGAAATATGTATACCTTAACAAAACTGTAATCATTTTGTCAACAAAATAAAGAGGGATATTTTGTAGCTAGTTTAGTCGCATTTTTGACCCGGTTCACCCTTCAATTATTTAGCTAGGAGGAGCTGACAGGTAAAATAGTCCAGTCGTTTAGAATTGAAAATTAACCACCCCTCCAACGTACTACAGGCTCTACATGTTAAAGATTCTTCGAAAGTTAAAAATCGAGAGTAGTAGGATAAGTTCACTCTCATGTCAAAATTCCTCTCAATACACACTTCAAACCATTCGTCATCAAAAGTCCAATTAGGAGCTCAAGGAATTACATTAGATGTTATACTCCTTGTCATTCTTGTTTTCCAATTCGCGAATATCAAGACTCAAAATGACCCGTCGGTGCAGTCGAAGGCTGTCGGAGAAACCAAGATACCTGCTCATACTGGATGGCAAACGCTCGAATCAGACCTGATCATTATCGTCTTCTATTATATCTGACATGAACATAATAGATTTCCATTCTATCTAACATGATCATTATAGGCCTCCATTCTATCTGACCTGATAATTATAGACTTCCATTCTATCTGACCAGATCATTATAGACTTCCATTCTATCTGACCAGATTATTATAGACTTCCATTCTATCGGACCTGAACATTATAGACTTCCATTCTATCTAACATGATCATTATAGGCCTCTATTCTATCTAACCTGATCATTATAGACTTCCATTCTAACAGACCAGATTATTATAGACCCCCATTTTAACTGACCAGATCATTATAGAATTCCATTCTATCTGACCAGATCATTATAGATTTCCATCCTATCTGACCTGATCATTATAGATTGCCATTCTATCAGACCTGAACATAATAGACTTCCATTCTATCTAACATGATCATTATAGACTTCCATTCTATCTGACCTGATTATTATAGACTTCCATTCTATCTGACCTGATTATTATAGACTTCCATTCTATCTGACCTGATTATTATAGACTTCCATTCTATCTGACCTGATTATTATAGACTTTCATTCTATCTGACCTGAACATGATAGACTTCCATTCTATCTGATCTGAACATTATAGACTTCCATTCTATCTGACCTGAACATTATGGACTTCCAAATTATCTGATCAGAACATTATAGACTTCCATTCTATCTGACCAGAACATTATATACTTCCATTCTATTTGACCAGATTATTATAGACTTCCATTCTATCTGACCTGATTATTATACACTTCCATTCTGTCTGACCTGAACATTATGGACTTCCATTCTATCTGACCTGAACATTATGGACTTCCATTCTATCTGACCTGGACATTATAGACTGCCATTCTATCTGACCTGAACATTATAGACTTTCATTCTATCTGACCTGAACATGATAGACTTCCATTCTATCTGATCTGAACATTATGGACTTCCATTCTATCTGACCTGAACATTATGGACTTCCAAATTATCTGATCAGAACATTATAGACTTCCATTCTATCTGACCAGAACATTATATACTTCCATTCTATCTGACCTGATTATTATAGACTTCCATTCTGTCTGACCTGAACATTATAGACTTGCATTCTATCTGACCTGAACATTATGGACTTGCATTCTATCTGATCAGAACATTATGGACTTCCATTCTATCTGACCTGAACATTATAGACTTCCACTCTATCTGACCTGAACATTATAGACTTCCATTCTATCCGACCTGAACATTATAGACTTGCATTCTATCTGACCTGAACATTATGGACTTGCATTCTATCTGATCAGAACATTATAGACTTCCATTCTATCTGACCTGAACATTATAGACTTCCACTCTATCTGACCTGAACATTATAGACTTCCATTCTATCCGACCTGAACATTATAGGCTTTCATTCTATCTGACCTGAACATTATAGACTTTCATTCTATCTGACCTGAACATTATAGACTTCCATTCTATTTGACCAGATTATTATAGACTTCCATTCTATCTGACCAGATTATTATAGACTTCCATTCTATCTGACCTGAACATTATGGACTTCCATTCTATCTGACCTGAACATTATAGACTTCCATTCTATCTGACCTGAACATTATAGACTTTCATTCTATCTGACCTGAACATTTTGGTCTTTCATTCTATGAGACCTGAACATTATAGACTTCCAATCTATCTGACCTGAACATTATAGACTTCCAATCTATCCGACCTGATCATTATGGACTTCCATTCTATCTGACCTGACCAATATCGAGGTGTTGTAATATTCAATCTTAATGAAATGGAAAAAAAAACCATATACACATGATGTTAAATTGGAATCTTTTTAGTAGCATACAAGGCAGGGTATACTTACTCTTCTAGACACCTGATACCACTTTTCATTATGAAATACTTACTCACTTATTATTGATATACTTCCTCATGTTCATTAGCTGCCACTTATATTTCGTCAATATGTTGTTAGGATTTCGGGTTTCGTTTGTACTTGGTTTATTTATTTCTATCTTCAATACCAGTACACTGATTAAGAGGAAGGTAGAGTGAATTTGGGTACAGCCAGGGAGTGACAGAGCGAAGCAAGAGCTAGTAGAAAAGACAGGGGTAACAGGAGAAAGAGGTATAGGAAAGAAAGATGGATTACAGTGTAAGAAGATGTAGGCGTCAAGAAGGTCTTGGCGTAAAGAGAAAATTAGAATCAAGTTGTTGATAGGTGATAATTAGTTTCAGTGGAGAGAAAGTAAGACGAAGTGAGAGACATTATGGGAATATTAGAAAGTAGGAGAGAGGATCAGTATCAGCGGGGTCAGACACGGGTCAAAAGGATATTCTTTTATATTAGAGGTTCTCATTGTACCTACTGCCGTGCAGTGCTTCGAATTGCAGTACTCCGATAAATTTTCTCTAATTGACTTGATACTGTCTTAATATAACGACAGCAATTGGATTTAAACAATTTTGATAAGTAGCCTCTGTGGTAAAAAAAACATTGTAGAGAATCACCTCCCTTGAAGCAAAACGTATATAATACGTTACTGTTTAATTTTTTTTAAAAATCTGTAGCAATACAAAATGTTCCGATCCTTATAATATAATAATAACAAAAAAATCACCCGACAACTTTCAAAATAGGAATCAAAGGCTGGTATAGGGGCAGTTGTTTCCGTCTGATTATCTAACAGTAGATTTCTAGACTAAACAGTCTATAGTTCCTTAAAGTTTATACAATCCGCCGAGAGTTGTGTAATATAAATATAAATATTTGGAAAAAGTTTTCATGAAAAATATTCAATTTGAATCGATTCGCAGATTGTCGTGATGAATTTTGATTTTGGCTAAACATAAGAATTATTGAATAGCATAAAGGTTTATTTTACTCGCACATTGCGATGCGATTTATCTTTAATTTAATCTAACCGGAATCTAACTGAACAATTCCAGATTATTTGAAAGCAATGATTTGGACTGATGTACTTTTAAGGTATTTGAAACTTTACTTGTTTAGGTCATTAACTAACTGGATGTTATTTTTAAGAGTGTGTTTCAGATCAGTCTAGGGTTACCTTGACCTCCTCACCCACAGGATTCCTTTCGTTCTAACTTAAAACAGAATATTCTATCTTTGACAAGAATATATCAAAGAACCTGTCTTGTATAGTTCCTTTTCAAGGTTTTTATTTTCTATTTTCTGACCACAGAAAACTGCGTTCCTGATATTACAGCTCTCTGTATCTTTCAGTGTTCATGTAAATTTAAATTTTCTAGGCGGGTTCTCCTAGACCAAATACAAATAATCTTGAACCTTAAATTCGCTAGGAATTGCCAGGATTTTGTGTGTCCAGGTGTCCAATTCTCAAGCTTTCTTGTGGTGGTCCCATAGTCCCTATACAAATAAACCTTAAATTCGCCAGGAAATGTCGCGTTTCAGGGAGTAAATTTTCTAAAATTTTCTAGCAGATGTCCCCAGACTTAAAATCGTAAAACCATGCTTCCAAATGGGCGTCCTCGGCAGCGATAACTCTATAGAGAGCACACTGTTGGGAGGGGGTACCTAAACTGCCCCCCCTCGATTGGACACCCCAACCACACCCCCGGAAGGACTTGGCTGGCTACGGGCCTGAAAACAACAACATATATATATGCTGCAATAATTTACTCTACATTGAAATTCTCAAAAACTGGTCAAATTATGGCGATTCGCATTTCTTTTACTTTGCTTCATTCATTTTGGTTTACTGGAATATAAAAAGAAATATATTTAATTTCCTAGTCAAAATTTAAACTCAATCCATCAGTTGAGACAGAAATCGGTATAAAGCAATTTGTATTGCATGGAGAAAATAACATGTACGTAAGCAGAAAGAAAGCATGAACCTGTCCAATTCTGAATCTATAGCAGGTCAAAGTCTACAAAATCTTTTTGATATTCATAAAATGAATTCAAAATCTATACTTAATTATACTCCTACTACGAATTTTGTTTTATACCTTGACTACAATAGTCACCTTTCTTGTAGCAACAGACAACTAATCTTGACAGAAAGTCTGTAAATACTAAGCCATAATGTTTACAACCTTTCTGTGGAGGGCTCTGATTGGCTGTTTGCGCGTAAAATCCAATCAAATCGTTGCATTTCGTGGTGCAAGAAAGGTGGCTATTGCAGTCAAGGTATAAGACGAACTACGTTATAGCTTGACAATGTAAAGGCTTTGGCTTTTAGATCTTTTTGGTTCTTTCTTGATCTTTTGTTTGACCTCTCAATTTTTGGACCTCTCGAATTTTTCTTTTGACCTCTGGATCTATTGGCCTCTTGATCTATTGACCTCTGGATCTTTTGACCTCTGGACCCCACATTTTTGTGATACTTACCCTTCACATCAAAATATTTTTTTTAACTCAGTCAAACCATTTTCATCATCACCAAATACTGATTTAATCTCTTCATCAGTAAAAACACCATCTTTAGCAGCGGCATTATAGGCAGCATCGAAATCAGCATCTCTGATTTCTCTCTTGCCAGACCATCCCTTTCTCACCCACCATTTTCTCACCCCACCCCACCATCTTCTAATATCACTTCTTCGGCTCAAAACCTCCCTCTCCTGAATATCGTCGGCAGTATCGATATCAGCATTTCTGATTTCTCTCTTACCCCATCTTATAACCCAAGGTGCTCTCACATCCCTTTCAGGATAAGTTCTTGGGCTCAAAACCTCCCTCTCCCGAAGTTCGTCGGCAGTATCGAAATCAACATCTCTAACGTCTTTCTTACCCCCACTCCCCGACCATCTCTTTCTTACCCACCATCTTCTCCCCCAACCCCACCATCTTCTACTATAACCAAAGCTTCTTGGGCTCAAAACCTCCCTCTCCTGCATGTCGTCGGCATTATCGATATCAGCATCTCGGACTTCTCTCTTACCCCATCTTACACCCCAAGGTCCTCTCACATACCTCACAGTATAACTTCTTGGACTCAAAACCTCCCTCTCCTGCATGTTGTCGGCATTTTCGATATCAGAATCTCTGATTTCTCTCTTACCCGTCCATCTTCTCCTTACACCCCACCATATTCTACTATAACCATAACTTCTTGGGCTCAAAACCTCCCTCTCCTGCATTTCGTCGTCAGTATCCAAATTAATTTCTCTCACTTTATCCATTTTAAGTTTAAGCGTTGTGCCTCTGTTCGTGACCTGAAACCTCCTTCTCAACCACCACCAGCTGTCGGCATCTTGACACATCATCATAATAATAGCAACGAGTAACATCAACGCAATTTTCATTCTAAAATTCAAAATAAAAACAGAACATTGAATAGTCTTAACCCCATTCCCCTTTTTTCAGAAACCACTTTAATACTTAATAAGGCACATATAAATACCATTGTACTGAACAAGATGTTTTCAACCTTTTGATGTCTACCATCTCTTTCAAGACCTTTAATCGAGTGTAATATTCCCCTTTCCAACTATAGATCTTTACTATTTCGTGATTTTTTCTTGGGTTCTCCTTGTATTTAATTTCAGAGAAATTCAAGCCTCCTTTAACTAAAATGAGATTTGACCATACCAAACTGTGCTAAACACATCACCATCTTTGAGTTTTGCATGACAAGCATTTATCAAGGTATCGTTCTATTTAGATTATATATAATTAAAATGGTATACTTACTTGTTAGATGCAGATTCTTTTTAGAAATTCAAATTAATATACTTGTGTTTGGACAATCAAATTTATGCTGAATTATCTTCGTTTTGCTCCGCAATTTATAATCCATTCTTGTTAATATTCATTTATTTCTTTTCAAATTTAAACAGGCATCCCTTTATGTAAGATCGCACAAAATCAACAAAAGGTATTTCTTTATTTCAAGCGATATCCTATAATGTTACGGTAATGTTTTGTCCTGATGGCGTTGGATCCTGTAATGATAAGGAAATATATTTTGGACTGACGGTGTAAGATCCTGTGAAAATATTGAAATAATTTTGTACTGACGATGGGTGATAGATCCTGTACTGATTCATTATAAGGAAATATTAGTGACAATTCTTTACAATTCATACTCTATCACACTTCATTGTCTTCTGCAGGTATTATTAATGCCACCATGCTTATTATTGGAGCCGAGTCAATTGGATGAACTTGTTGCCGCCAGCTTTCTTCTCCTTACATTTTGTTTCTATAATCACCATTCCTTCTGAGGTATCCTCAAAGGAAATTAACAGCTAGGTTTTTCGTCTGTACCTTCCTATTGTGTGTAATATTGAGCAATAATAGCGGTTGTGCTGCAAGGCAAGGCATGCTAATTCTTCTGGACACTTAATGCCACTGTTCATTGTGAAATGCTTTTCCAGATGTGATTAATATATTTACTTCTTGATAAGCTTATCAATATACATTACAAAATTCTTATTTTAGTTTTAAGAGTCCGTATTATAAGAGTGTCCTTCTCTGAAAGTGTAATGTAATTAATTCCCAGCTTTCAGACACGGTGTGGAAATATAATTATGTAAAATCAAAAAGTCAAAGGTGGAAAATTCAATGCGACGTCAATTCCTGCCTTTAAGATTATAACTTAACAATTCCTATTTCCAAAGTCAACGACGATACCTTTACATTGCAAGCTGTCAAATCATGATTGAGCCCGTTGATGAATTAGCATTTGGTTCAGAGCTAACGACGTTTTTTGGAATAAATGTCGGATATTATTTATAACCGGAAATAGAACCCATTGAGTCGTCATTCTAAAGTTTTGCTTCAAGACTATACAGGCACATACGCTTCTGGTTTCCTCCCATTTCAATAATGGAACAATTTTTTTTTTTGGCATTTACGGCGCCAATATCCCGAGACTGTGGGTACAAATAGGGGACAGACTGACTCATTGGATGACGACTTTCGAGATTGACAATTAAAATGCTGTATCTCTGAGAAAGCGCATAGTCTCAAACCTCCCCTACAACGTCTGAGATGGTTCTCTCACGAGAAAACTGATTTCTTGCATTCGGGCACATATTATTGATAAAAACGTTTAAATATCATATTTTCAATTTTGTTAGAACAAACCCTACTGTATCCCCACTGGCGCCGTCACTGTAAAGTGGACTGATGTAAGGTATTTGAGTTGGCAATTAAAATGCTGTACCTTTGTGGAAGCACATAGTCTCAACTCTCCCATACAACGTCTGAGATTGCTCTCTCACGGTTCCACCGTCCCTATACAAATAAACCTTAAATTCGCCAGGAAATGTGGCGTTTCAGGGAGTAAATTTTTCTAGAAGAGGCCCCCAAACTTCGTAAACCAGGCTTCCAAATGTGCGTCCTCGGCAGCAATAAAGATAGCAATAACTCTATAGAGAGCACCACTGAAACAATTCACAAAGTTTTCCGGGAGTGGAGGGGAGAAGCTAAACTGCCCCCCAGGTTAGAAGTTTGCCCCCTCCCCCACCCCCACCCGCGGAAGGACTTGGCTGGCAACGGGCCTGAAAACAACAATATATATATGCAGCAATAATTTACTCAACATTGAAATTCTCAAAAAATGGTCAAATTATGGCGATTCGCATTTCTTTTACTTTGCTTGCTTCATTCATTTTGGTTTACTGGAATATAAAAAAAAATGTATTTCATTTCCTAGTCAAAATTTAAACTCAAAGTAAGATCATGCTCTTTGTCACTCAATCCATCAGTTGAGATAGAAATCGGTATAAAGCAATTTGTATTGCAAGGAGAAAATAACATGTACGTAAGCAGAAAGAAAGCACGAACCTGTCCAATTCTGAATCTATAGCACGGAAAGTCTACAAAATCGTTTTGATATTCATAAAATACTTATATTCAAATACTCCTACTACGAATTTCGTATTATACCTTGACTACAATAGTCACCTGTCTTGTATCAACAGACAGCTAGAGTCCTTGACAGAAAGTCTGTAAATACTAAGCCATAATGTTTACAACCTTTCTGTGGAGGGCTCTGATTGGCTGTTTGTGCGTAAAATCCAATCAAATCGTTGCATTTCGTGGTACAAGAAAGGTGGCTATTGCAGTATAAGACGAACTACGTTATAGCTTGACAATGTGAAGGCTTTGGCTTTTAGATCTTTTTGGTTCTTTCTTGATCTTTTGTTTGATTTTTTTATCACCATAACTTCTTGGGATCAAAACCTCCCTCACCTGCATTTCGTCGGCATTGTCGATATCAGCATCTCTGACGTCTCTCTTACCCGACCATCTTCTCCTTACACCCCACCATCTTCTCCTTACACCCCACCATATTCTACTATGACCATAACTTCTTGGGCTCAAAACCTCCCTCTCCTGCATGTCGTCGGCATTATCGATATCAGCATCTCTGACTTCTCTCTTACCCCATCTTACACCCCAAGGTCCTCTCACATACCTCACAGTATAACTTCTTGGGCTCAAAACCTCCCTCTCCTGCATGTCGTCGGCATTATCGATATCAGCATCTCTGACTTCTCTCTTACCCCATCTTACACCCCAAGGTCCTCTCACATACCTCACAATATAACTTCTTGGGCTCAAAACCCCCCTCTCCTGAATATCGTCGGCAGTATCGAAATCATCTTCTCGTTTACCCCACCAGCCTTTCCTATATTTAATTTTAATTTTAATCTTTGTGTCACCGTCTTTATATTTGACCTTAAGCTTCTGTCTCCGCCTCCACCACCAGCTGTCGGCATCTTGACACATCATCATAATAACAGCAACGAGTAACATCAACGCAATTTTCATTCTAAAATTTAAAATAAAAACAGAACATTGAATAGTCTTAACCCCATTCCCCTTTTTTCAGAAACCACTTTAATACTTATTAAGGCACATATAAATACCATTGTACTGAACAAGATGTTTTCAACCTTTTGATGTCTACCATCTCTTTCAAGACCTTCGATCGAGTGTATTATTCGCCTTATCAACTATAGATCTTTACTATTTCATGATTTTTTCTTGGGTTCACCCTGTATTTAATTTCAGAGAATAAAGAGTATCTTAAATCATAATTGTCCAAAAATGTTATGCGGGACTATAAAGTGCCTTATTACTGCCCCACCACCCCTCCCCCCAAAAAAAAAATTTCAAAAATAACCCCCCAGTTTGAATTGAAAACCCCTGTAGTACACTCTCGTGCGTGACTAGGCAGTATACTACTTGACACGATGACCATTCCTTGTGATAATGGGACAAGCGTATACTTAACTGTCGGGACTACCTTGCAAGCTTCCTTTAACTAAAATGAGACTTGACAATGCCAAACTGTGCCAAGCACATCGCCGTCTTTGAGTTTTGTATCGATAAGTGACAGGAATATTTCAAGGTATCGTTCTATTTAGATTATATATAATTAAAATGGTATACCTACTTGTAAGATGCAGATTCTTCTTTAAAAAATTCAAATTATTATACTTGTGTTAGTTGTATAAACGATTTTGGACAATCAAATTTATGCTGAATTATCTTCGTTTTGTTCCGCAATTTATAATCCATTCTTGTTAATATTCATTTATTTCTTTTCAAATTTAAACAGGCATCCCTTTATGTAAGATCGCACAAAATCAACAAAAGATATTTCTTTATTTCAAGAACTCTAGCGATATCCTGTAATGTTACGGTAATGTTTTGTCCTGATGGCGTTGGATCCTGTAATTATAAGGAAATATATTTTGGACTGACGGTGTAAGATCCTGTGAAAATATTGAAATAACAGATAGATAGATGGGTGATAGATCCTGTACTATTCATTATAAGGAAATATTAGTGACAATTCTTTACAATTCATACTCTATCACACTTCATTGTCTTCCTCAGGTATTATTAATGCGAGTTACACCCTGGTATCTATGCCATATGTTACATCTATTTCCCATCATGCTTATTATTGGAGCCGAGTCAACTTGTTGCCGCCAGCTTTCTTCTCCTTACATTTTGTTTCTATAATCACCATTCCTTCTGAGGTATCCTCAAAGGAAATTAACAGCTAGGTTTTTCGTCTGTACCTTCCTATTGTGTGTAATATTGAGCAATAATAGCGGTTGTGCTGCAAGGCAAGGCATGCTAATTCTTCTGGACACTTAATGCCACTGTTCATTGTGAAATGCTTTTCCAGATGTGATTAATATATTTACTTCTTGATAAGCTTATCAATATACATTACAAAATTCTTATTTTAGTTTTAAGAGTCCGTATTATAAGAGTGTCCTTCTCTGAAAGTGTAATGTAATTAATTCCCAGCTTTCAGACACGGTGTGGAAATATAATTATGTAAAATCAAAAAGTCAAAGGTGGAAAATTCAATGCGACGTCAATTCCTGCCTTTAAGATTATAACTTAACAATTCCTATTTCCAAAGTCAACGACGATACCTTTACATTGCAAGCTGTCAAATCATGATTGAGCCCGTTGATGAATTAGCATTTGGTTCAGAGCTAACGACGTTTTTTGGAATAAATGTCGGATATTATTTATAACCGGAAATAGAACCCATTGAGTCGTCATTCTAAAGTTTTGCTTCAAGACTATACAGGCACATACGCTTCTGGTTTCCTCCCATTTCAATAATGAAACAATTTTTTTTTGGCATTTACGGCGCCAATATCCCGAGACTGTGGGTACAAATAGGGGACAGACTGACTCATTGGATGACGACTTTCGAGGTTGACAATTAAAATGCTGTATCTGTGAGGAGGCGCATAGTCTCAAACCTCCCCTACAACGTCTGAGATGGTTCTCTCACGAGAAAACTGATTTCTTGCATTCGGGCACATATTATTGATAAAAACGTTTAAAAATCATATTTTCAATTTTGTTAGAACAAACCCTACTGTATCCCCACTGGCGCCGTCACTGTAAAGTGGACTGATGTAAGGTATTTGAGACTTTACTTGTTTAGGTCATTAACTAACTGGTTGTAATTTAAAGAGAGTCTTTCAGATCAGTCTAGGGTTACCTTGACCTCCTCACCCACAGGATTCCATTCGTTCTAACTTAAAACAGAATATTCTATCTTTGACAAGAATATATCAAAGAATCTGTCTTGTATAGTTCCTTTTCAAGGTTTTTATTTTCTTCTTTTTATTTTCTATTTTCTGACCACAGAAAACTGCGTTCCTGATATTACAGCTCTCTGTATCTTTCAGTGTTCATTTAAATAGAGTTTGAGGAGTGTCTCTTAAATATAAAACACCCTGCTTTTCTAAAATGTATAATGAGAGAATAAACTAAGCCAAAATTCCCTTTAAAAATATCAGATTTTTATATTCTAGATCAAACAGCTCTTGTGTCACAATCCACTAATTTCTTGAAACCAATAGTTTGTAAGTAGAGAATTTTGTAATTCAATATTTTTACTGTTATTAATTTTTTCAGTCTGCTGTGTGGTATTCAAACAACAAGTTTGTGAAAGATTTTTAATCAATATGTTTCTGGTTTTATTACATTTCCATATCAGTTTTGGATTTTTTGGAAGAAAATCTTGACCAAAGGCAAATAAAATTATGATTTCGAACTTTCCGCCTGACATCAGTGGATTTTAAAGGTCTGTTAGGTCAAACGGTATCAAGTTAAAATCATCAATCGATCAATTTGGTCGATATGTCAATTGAAACACCACAGTTGCATCAGTTACTAGTGTTTTATTCTTTCTTAAAGATCTGAATCTTCATAGTCTTAAACTAGTCTGTAGACTAGATTTTATTTGTGGATCGATTTACCTACAGTTACCTGTTACCTACAGTAACATGTAATGTTACGCTTGTAACTTGACCTAAAAGTTGATGGAATCAGAATTTTAGATTTCGAATTTGAATATTTCAGATTTGTTGACGACTGCAATTTTTATCTAGCAGGAACAATTCAGTGTCAATGGACTGTTGTATTTTAAAGAAGAGAAACATCAGTTAAATGTCAGACACGATATTATGTAAGGGCCATAACTCTCAATAACAACATTCCAGTCTGTGTATAACTGTGTATAACTCAAATTGCTTATATAAAATAGTATCATAAAACGAAACAATCAACAAGATTGGAGTTTTTGAAAATGCAGAAGTTTGTATCTTGTGACTAATGGTAATGTCTCGATGGAATTATTAATGGTTCAGCTTTGTACTGATACCCAAAGTTATGCCATAACTATTGGCATGGTGGAAATTCTCAAAAACTGGTGATCGAAAAATGGATTGGAGCCAACTCCCATTCAAAGTGACATTTTATGCCTGGCCCTAATCGTGATTATATCCCTTTTTATTAGCTTTTATTTTTAGTACAGTAACTTTGGTCTAACTCGATGACGTCTGCTTTAATCAATCAAATTTCTACCCTCTCCTATTCTGTAACGCGTTGTTTATCAAAAGATTAATCTGGCGAATGTTCAAGAAGGCCGTCGTTAGACCTTTACTGAGGGGGCTTTACTAAAAATAAAAGCTAATAAAAAACGGAACGAAAGTTTGGTCTAACTTTAATAAGACTTTGATATCAATAAAAAAGAAAGCACTTTTAGTTTATTTTTACAAGACTGTGCGATATAACATGCGTATATCTCGGGCGAATTCGGTTGTTTCCTTTCCGAAAGGGCGGAAAGATAAAAACGATTCCTTGTTGGGAATGGAAAGCAACAAAATATATGTATGCTGCAATAATTTATTCCACGTTGACATTATAAAATCTGGTCAAATTTTGGCGGTTCAAAATCATCATTTCCATCTCTTTTCTTTTGCCCTATATAATTCCGAATCTATAGCAGGTCTGCAAAATTTGGCTGTCATGAAATAATTACAAATTCGGTGAACGACACCATTAGAAATCGTCAATACAAAGAAAGTATCGGTCTGCCTATACAAATAACCTTGAACCTTAAATTCGCTAGGAAATGTCAGGAATTTGCGTTTCCAGGCTTCTAATTCTCAAAATTTTCTTGTGCTGGTCCCACAGTCCCTATACAAATAAACCTTAATTTCGCTAGGAAATGTCAGGAAATCGCGTCAAATTCTGTAAAATTTTCTAGAGGAGGTCCTCAGACTTCAGAAAATCGTTTTTCCAGGCTTCCAATGGGCATCCTCGGCAGCATTAAAGATAGTACTAACTCTATAGAGAGCAACAATTCACAAGGGGGAGGGGGCACCTAATCTGACCCCTTTGATTGGACGCCCCCCCCCCCCATCTAGAAGAACAACAAAATATATATTTGCTGCAATAATTTACTCTACATTGAATTTCTCAAAAACTGGTCAAATTATGGCGGTTCGCATTTCTTTTACTTTGCTTCATTCATTTTGGTTTACTGGAATATAAAAAGAAATATATTTAATTTCCTAGTCAAAATTTAAACTCAATCCATCAGTTGAGACAGAAATCGGTATAAAGCAATTTGTATTCAAAATCGATGCTTAATTATACTCCTACTACGAATTTCGTATTATACCTTGACTACAACAGTCACTTGTCTTGTAGCAACAGACAACTAGAGTCCTTGACAGAAAGTCTGTAAATACTAAGCCATAATGTTTACAACCTTTCTGTGGAGGGCTCTGATTGGCTGTTTGCTCGTAAAATCCAATCAAAACGTTGCATTCCCTGGTACAAGAAAGGTGACTATCGTAGTCAAGGAATAAGACGAACTACGTTTTAGCTTGACAATGTGAAGGCTTTGGTTCTTTCTTGATCTTTTGTGTGACCTCTCAAGTTTTGGACATTTCGATTTCGATTTTTTTCTTTTGACCTCTATGGACTCCGAACCTTTATCTGATACTTACCTTTCACATCAAAATTTTTTTTGAACTTACTCAAACCATTTTCATCAACACCAAATACTGATTTAATCTCTTCATCAGTAAAAACACCATCTTAAGCAACGGCATTATAGGCAGCATTGAAATCAGCTTCTCTTGTTTTGTTTTTACATTTAAATTTATGCGACCGTTATTATTTTTATATTTACACTTCTCTTTCCCGCTGTCGGCATCTTGACACATCATCATAATAACAGCAACGAGTAACATCAAACCACTTTTCATTCTAAAATTTAAAATAAAAACAGAACATTGAATAGTCTTAACCCCATTCCCCTTTTTTCAGAAACCACTTTAATACTTATTAAGGCACATACAAATACCATTGTACTGAACAAGATGTTTTCAACCTTTTGATGTCTACCATCTCTTTCAAGACCTTTGATCGAGTGTATTATTCGCCTTATCAACTATAGATCTTTACTATTTCATGATTTTTTCTTGGGTTCACCTTGTATTTAATTTCAGAGAATAAAGAGTATCTTAAATCATAATTGTCCAAAAATGTTATGCGGGACTATAAAGTGCCTTATTACTACCCCCTTCTTCTCCTTACATTTTGTTTCAATAGTCACTATTCCTTCTGAGGTATCCTCAAAGGAAATTAACAGCTAGGTTTTTCGCCTGTACCTTCCTATTGTGTGTAATATTGATCAATAATAGCGGGTGTGGTGCAAGGCAAGGCATGCTAACTCTTCTGGACACTTAATGCCACTGTGGAGCAATTTATTTGTATTTTGGCATTGACGGCGCCAACATCTTGAGACTGTGGGTACAAATAGGGGACAGACTGACTCATTGGGGGACGACTTTCGAGGTTGACAATTAAAATGCTGTATCTCTGAGGAAGCGCATAATCTCAAACGTCCCCTACAACGTCTGAGATGGTTCTCTCACGAGAAAACTGATTTCTTGCATTCGGGCACATATTATTGATAAAAACGTTTAAAAATCATATTTTCAATTTTGTTATAACAAACCCTACTGTATCCCCACTGGCGCCGCCATTGTAAAGTGGACTGATGTAAGGTATTTGAGACTTTACTTGTTTAGGTCATTAACTAATTGGATGTTATTAAAAGAGAGTCTTTCAGATCAGTCTAGGGTTACCTTGACCTCCTCACCCACAGGATTCCATTCGTTCTAACTTAAAACAGAATATTCTATCTTTGACAAGAATATATCAAAGAATCTGTCTTGTATAGTTCCTTTTCAAGGTTTTTATTTTCTTCTTTTTATTTTCTATTTTCTGACCACAGAAAACTGCGTTCTGAAGACTGTAAATGAACTCAAGCTTCAATTAAAATTCAGCCTCAACCAGAATGACTACCAATCCATTCGTCTGAAACAAGAAGATTCCAACAGAAGACTAAATGACCAAACCAAAGCCCGCCACATTAAGAAATTCAAAGGACCTACAGCAGCAACTAAAACCACTACCATCCAAACCTATAAGAGACGAATTTCTCAGCAAAACGGTAATCAACCTAAGTGATCACCAAATAACTGATGAACAAGTAAGTGTCTTGTCCCGTGGACTTAAATTCACACCAGTTTACAGACCAAAAAACCATGATAACCTTATTGTTAGCATTGAAAGAGGATTGCGTCAACTCGCCCCTGGTGGAAATATAGAATACCTACGCCACCAAGTCACTAACCTGATAACTAAAGCCAAACCAGAAAAATCTAACCTCACCAAACAAGAACGGAATGCCATTCAAGAACTAAAGGGAAACAAGAATATCACCATCCTCCCAGCTGATAAGGGGAAGGCCACAGTAATAATGAATAAGGATGATTATGAAATGACAGTCAACAACCTTCTAAAGGACACCACCACTTATCGCCGGATAAGGAAAGATCCAACCTCATCCCTCACTGCTTCCCATAATCAGCTACTAGACAGCCTCGCCCAGAATGGTGAAATTACAGAACAACAACGGTTCTTCCTTAAACCATCTCACCCAAGACCACCATATGCCCGAGCCTCCATTAAAATACACAAAGACCCTATTAAAGCCAGACTACTAGTATGCTCCCGTGACTCCGTGTTCTATAATACCGCTCAGACCCTCGTTAAGCTCCTTGCCCCATTGGGTAAAACCGCCCAATCATTTATACAAGACTCAACCGACTTTTGCGGGAAAATCAGAAACATCAACCAAACAGGACTGTTGGTTTCGTATGATGTTGTGGACCTGTTCACAAACATCCCCAGAAATCATGCCATCACTATTCTTCGTGATCGAATTTTGAACCTAACAGACCCACTTGATACCAAACTCTCCATTGACAGCATAACCAATCTTCTTCTAAAATGCATCGAATCAACCTATTTCAGTTGGGGTGACAACCTGTATGAACAGGTGCATGGTCTACCTATGGGAAGCCTTTTCCCCCCCCCCCCCCCACCCCCCCCCTCATCACTGAAGTCTATATGACTTACTTTGAAGAAGAAGCCCTCCACACCTCACCCATTAAACCGATTTGCTGGTTAAGAAAGGTAGATGACACGTTTGTCATTCTGAACAATTCCGACGATCCACATCAACTACTTCATCACCTCAATAGCAAAGAGAATAGGATCAAATTTACAATTGAACTAGAATCCAACAACCTGCTACCATTTCTTGACGTTCTAATTAAGAAAGATGGGAACTCATTACATACTAGCGTATATCGGAAACCAACACACACGGATCAGTACATCCACTTCAACTCTAACCATCCTAACCAAGTTAAGAAAGGCATAGTATCAACACTTACTAGACGTGCGATGAACATCTGCGACTCTCAACTTATTGACAGTGAACTCAACCACCTACAGAATGTCTTCACCAACCTCAATGGCTATCCCGAAATGTTTACTAAAACCATCATCAACAAAACCCGGCAGAACCATAATACTCCGAAAGTCACCAAACCCCCTTCACCAACAACTCGTATCACCATCCCATTTCTTGGCAAAGTATCCTATCAAATAAGAAGACTGATCAAACAAACCGTAGGAATAGAAACAACCTTTTCCTCTGGACCAACAATCAAGGACATCCTTCATGCAAATGGAAAACTGGCACCCACAATACCTCTGGCACCAAAAGGATGTGTCTACAGAATCACGTGCTCCTGCAATGAAGAATATGTTGGAGAAACAAGACGCCCTCTCAATCTCAGAACGCAAGAACACCTATCCCTAGCACCTACCCAAACATCCGCAGTTTCTGAACACATCAAAAACAACCGACGACACAAAATTGGCAATATCGAAGCCCTTACTAAACACCAAACCAACAAGAAAACGAGACAATTGACCGAAGCCATTCACATAAGGAGATACCAACCGCAACTCAACAGAGATACAGGTGTTTATTTATCACATGCCTATGACCCTTTAATTAAATAAAATAACCCCACCCCAAATTTTGTATTTAGATTGTCACCGCCATCTTACTAGTTTTCTATGTTTTATTTATCATCACATGTACGATTAAAATCACCACCACCCCACCATTATAATCAAGAAATAATTTACTACATCCCCTTTAATGGTTTCTCTAATCACACACCCTTGTGATTACCCCTACATAATTGATTAATGTATTCATATTGTTTTAATCCTTGTTATTGTTGCCCCACACTATATATCCTGAATGCCTTGTTATTTTGTATCATTGCTTGATAAAGACGAAAGAATCATCGTCGAAACGTCGCAAGTTATTTATTAAAGTAATTGTTATCCATATAATTGTGTTCGTGTTAATATCATCAATTACTAAATGCCACTCAAGGAAGTTATTAGACATAAATATGGAGATGAGGCAGTAAGATTAATGAACAAAGTAACCAGAGCAGAAGGAAAGTATATACGTGTCTCTAACAACCTCACTTTCCCTTTACGTTGCCGTGACAACAAGCTTATTCCTAAAGGATTCTCCATTAGATCCCCAGTTTCATCCACAGCAGCCCACAACATCATTACCAAAGCCAGCAGGACTTTAATACGTGAAAGAATCCAACACTTCAGAAACGAGAAGCAACGCATTCTGAAGACTGTAAATGAACTCCAGCTTCAATTAAAATTCAGCCTCAACCAGAATGACTACCAATCCATTCGTCTGAAACAAGAAGATTCCAACAGAAGACTAAATGACCAAACCAAAGCCCGCCACATGAAGAAATTAAAGGACCTACAGCAGCAACTAAAACCACTACCATCCAAACCTATAAGAGACGAATTTCTCAGCAAAACGGTAATCAACCTAAGTGATCACCAAATAACTGATGAACAAGTAAGTGTCTTGTCCCGTGGACTTAAATTCACACCAGTTTACAGACCAAAAAACCATGATAACCTTATTGTTAGCATTGAAAAAGGATTGCGTCAACTCGCCCCTGGTGGAAATATAGAATACCTACGCCACCAAGTCACTAACCTGATAACTAAAGCCAAACCAGAAAAATCTAACCTCACCAAACAAGAACGGAATGCCATTCAAGAACTAAAGGGAAACGAGAATATCACCATCCTCCCAGCTGATAAGGGGAAGGCCACAGTAATAATGAATAAGGATGATTATGAAATGACAGTCAACAACCTTCTAAAGGACACCACCACTTATCGCCGGATAAGGAAAGATCCAACCTCATCCCTCACTGCTTCCCATAATCAACTACTAGACAGCCTCGCCCAGAATGGTGAAATTACAGAACAACAACGGTTCTTCCTTAAACCATCTCACCCAAGACCACCATATGCCCGAGCCTCCATTAAAATACACAAAGACCCTATTAAAGCCAGACTACTAGTATGCTCCCGGGCGGAAAGACTTCGGGTGGTAGATAAAAACGATTCCTTGTTGGGAATGGAAAACAACAAAATATATGTATGCTGCAATAATTTATTCCACGTTGACATTATAAAATCTGGTCAAATTTTGGCGGTTCAAAATCATCATTTCCATCTTTTTTCTTTTGTCTCATTCACTTTGTTTTCTGAAATATAACTAAACATATTTAACTGTCAATTTTCATGTCAAAAATATAGGATTATGGGGGTGCAAACCATTTTAGTAGCCCCTGTACCACCACTGGCGCCACCACTGCTCGGTAATATACTTTGGAAAATCTGGATAGCGCAAGGAAATAAACATGTACGTATAAGCAGAAAGATAGCATGTACGTATATAATTCCAAATCTATAGCAGGTCAAAGTCTGTAAAATTTGGCAATCATGAAATAAGTACAGATTTCATGCTAAGTGACCGACAAGATTAGATATCGTCAATATAAAGAAAGCGTCGATCTGTCTGTCTCGTTAAAAAGATATTGTAACTTACCATTGGAGGCGAGTGTCTCATACTCCTCGACTTCTACCACCCCATCTTCTGTTAAACATAATATCATTGTTTACAATATCATTGTCATTGTTTACAATATCATTATCATTGTGTACAATATCATTATCATTGTTTACAATATCATTATCATTGTTTACAATATCATTATTATTATTATCATTGTGTACAATATCATTATCATTGTTTACAATACCATTATCATTGTGCACAATACCATTATCATTGCGCACAATGTCATTATTATTATTATCATTGTGTACAATGTCATTATCATTATTATCATTGTGTACAATCAGATGGGAACACTTCAAAACATCCCCGATATAATAAAAGAATGGAAAATCTAAATTACAATAAAAAGTGTGCGACGTTTTTGGGGCGTTTGTTATCATTTCATGATCCTTTGTCTTTTTGATCTATTGACTTTTTGGCCTCTTGATCTAGTGACCTCTTGATCTATTGACTTCTTGATCTAGTGACATCTTGATCTATTGACTTCTTGATCTATTGACTTCTGGGTCTATTGACCTCTTGAGCCTTTGGAATATTGACCAATTGACCTCTTGATCTATTGACCTCTTGATCCTTTGGCCTTTTGACCAATTGACCTCTTGATCTATTGACTTCTTGATCTATTGACCTCTTGATCTATTGACCTCTTGATGTATTGACCTCTTGATCCTTTGGCCTTTTGATCTATTGACTTCCTGATCTATTGACCTCTGGATCTTTTGACCTCTTGACCCCACATTTATCTTTAACTTACCGTTCACATCAAAATTTTCTTTGAACTCAGCAAAACCATTTTCATCAACACCAAATACTGATTTAATCTCTTCATCAGTAAAAACACCATCTTTAGCAGCGGCATTATAGGCAGCATCGAAATCAGCATCTCTGACGTCTTTCTTACCTGACCATCTCTTTCTTAACCACCATCTTTTCCACCCACCCCACCTTCTTCTACTATAACCATAACTTCTTGGGCTCAAAACCTCCCTCTCCTGCATGCCGTCGGCATTATCGAAATCAACATCTCTGACGTCTCGCTTACCCGACCATCTCTTTTTCACCCACATTCTGCTCCACCCACCCCACCATCTTCTACTAACACCATACCTTCTAGAGCTCAAAACCTCCCTCTCCTGAATATCGTTGGCAGTATCGATATCAGCATCTCGTTTACCCCACCAGCCTTTCCCATCTTTAATTTTAATTTTAATCTTTGTGTCGCCATCCTTATACTTGTACTTTATCTTCCTTAATTCGGCTTCTTGACACATCATCGTTATAACAGCAACGAGTAATATCAAACCAATTTTCATTCTTAAATTCAAAAAACGAAAACAGAAAATTACCATCTTTACAATGTCAAGCTTTCACGAAATTCGTCTTATACCACTATTCTACGCTAGCGAATACAGTTGATCAGAGCTCTCGACAGAAAGGTCTTTAAACAAAAAGGTACAATATTTACAGTCTTTTCGTCGATGGCCCCGATTGGCTATACTCGCTTGCGTACAAACCAATCAAATCACATAACTAAAATAACCTAATGATATTAAGGTATTATAATAATTTCGTAATACCTTGACATTGTGAAGATCATTACATGTCAGATTGACCACAAATAACACATTGCTCCAGGTTATTATGGTGACTTACTAGACAGTGCAATACTACTTGGCATGACGATAATTTAAATGTGTTCTGTGAACTATTGGGAACAATTGGCTAACTGTCAAATTAACATGCCAATCAGTCTATTTGGATTCTATAAAATTCGAAAGGTATTCATATACTTACTTGGTAGATAAGAGTCTGCTTTAGAAATTCAAATTTGAGA